GTGTAATATATTTTACAAAGAAAAATGAAACTCGAAATGGAACAGTATCTTAGAATGCAGGGTAGATAAAATTTTCAACTCCTAATGGAAAAGACCACCTACGTTTTGGAAAAGAGCCCAGAACATTATTAAATGAATAAGACAATATATTATAAACAAATATTTAATGGAAAGTGTAAACATCGGTATAAATAATATGATACACTACGTTTGAAAATATGTTTGAACTTTCAACTAGCGGTTCATTTAGCAGGTATCGTCTTTTCAATTTAATATTCTTTTTGCATCCAGTACACAAGTATTGAGATGTGGTGCTACCGCCGTATACTAAGAATAAGTTGGGTGGATAGAATTGCAAATGAAGAGGTAATAAGCAGAATAAAGAACGATCCAGAAGTTATTATGAATATAAAAAAGAGAAAACTTGAATACTTCCTCATGGCCACCTGATGAGAGGACAAAAGTACACATTCCTACAAAATATCATGCACGGAAAGATCCAAGGGCGAAGAAATTCAGGCCGTAGAAGAATGTCCTGGATGAGAAATTTAAGAGAATGGTTTGGCCGTACCACTAACGAATTATTCAAAACAGCAGCTAATAAAATTAGAATCGCCATAATGATATCCAATCTCCGATAGGAGAGGCGCCCAAAGAAGAAGAAGACACTAACATTCATATATAACTCAGTTTGCACTGCATGCTTGAGTAATTTTTTGTACTTAAATATATATATTATTTATGTAATATATTTTTATAACTACAAGCGAACTAAATATGATAAACGCCGATATTAACTATCAGTTAAATTGAGACTGACAAATGTAGTGATGGATGGTGATGAGACGGTGCGAAAAAGATTAAAAGACCTATGTCTTAAAGTAACTGGTGTTAACGGATGATTATGCCCATCGAGCAACATCTATTCCTCGGTCCAAAGGCCCTTTGGGTGGATTATATTGCTCTCCAGGCATATTGCTTTTAATAACACCCTTGCTGCATAAATAACTATTAAGCTGGATTTATAGTTTGACGGACTGTAAACGTAGACGCACTGGAGACGTAATAAACGGACTGTAAAATGGACCGACGGAGTGGAATTTTTGAGCATGAGTAGAAACAGTGGCTAGAGTTGGTGACCATAATAATATAATATCCTTTTATTATTTATTATTATTATTTGATAAATTCTTAACGTCCGTATTTGTAACAAATAATCAACAAAATCAAAATTCGAATATGTTGATAAACAACTTTACAAAATGGTGGGCGGGCCAGACAGTTCACTTTGGTTGACAACACAAAATTCTTCCTTTTTATTGGCCAGACGCAAGTAAAGTACTGTAAAAGATAAAAAGTTGGCGAAGTCTTCCGTTCCAGTGCGTTTAGCTTACGTTCCGCCATGCGTTTACTTTCCTTTATAAATAAGAGTAAACAAAATTCTATATTGATCTTTTTCCAGTGCGTCTACGTTTACAGTCCCTAAAACTATAAATCCAGCTTTAAACCGTTATTTTTTATTTGATAATGAGGCGCATATGACAATGACAATGTGGGTGCTTTGTTGTACAATGCGAATTTAAACCAGCAAAAATTTGTACTCTAGATCTTGTTTCTCTCTTATACACGCCGCAGCCCGAGTGCCCGTCATATCATAAGAGCTTCATTAACAATTAAAAACAATGTTTTAAAATAAAATAGGTCCAAAATACTTATCGTGAAATGATAGAACAAGGTGTGAATTTGAATTTAGGTACTTATTGAATTCAAATATAATTTATTTAAATGTATATTTCGTTGTTTATAACAATAAATTTCCGGAGATTGTAAAGACAACAGCCTTATACCAAACGGATTGAAGTTACGTCCAGCATATTCAAGCAGTTTGTCCATGATCCGCGAAAGGTTACAATTGCATAGATCGAACTTATTTTTTGTTGAACAAGATATTGTAGGTATTAAAGATTTGCTTTTCAATGTAATATCAAATTCTGATTGTGATCAAATTATTTTTTGTTTACATAGAGTATATGAAAATTCATATAAGAAGCAAAGAAATATATATTTAAATAAATTTAATATTCTTTTAGAACAGAATAGTATACACACTTTAGATAGACACTTTAGTAGATACACACTTTGTTTTTGAGCCTTGAAAATCTGAATTTTGCGTCTTTCTCAGTTTTAAAACATGTATAATTCGAAAACGATTAAGTATACAGAAAAACTACAAGAGACCTATTTGGTCCCAAAAAAATTTGCCCAGGCCGAAACAATTAATTGTTATGATTTGTTAAAAAAAATTTGAACAACTTTTCACCTGGGCGACCTCTTGAACCTTACTTTGGGGTATCTCATAAAAGTGCTTATGAAAAAAAAATCTCATGGGAATATTTTTCCGAACACAACCGAGCTTTTCACCTTGTTTATTACTGATTTCCGGTCATAGGTACACGACATTTTTTATTTTAATTTTTAATTGTGTCGGAGATTCCTTGTGATGGTTTTTGTTTTGAATCTTAGAGGTCTGAGTAATACTGCTGTATTATTTGTATTGATGCAAATTATGTTGTGTCGTTTTTTATATCTGATTTTTATGGTTTATATTGTCAATCTGTATTTTCTTAGCTTTGATCGAAAGCATTTGATTTCTTATTTTGTAGTCTTTCTGAACTTTTCTTTTTATGTAGCGATTTTAATATCTTTAATATTTTTTCTCATACTTGTATGTACCTTCTTATATACCTCTTTATTTGAGAGTTTTTATTTTTTGTTGTTCTATTAGTAGAGAGAGTTTTATTCATTATTCAGTTTTTTGTCTCTTGTAATACGTACGTAGAATTACCCTTTGATTTTTGTGGCTATAAATTTGTATTAATAAATATGAAATCTGGCGTCTTAATTTATTTTTATAGCCCGCAAAAATGTTGACTTTTCTTAAAAAAATGTAACTTTATTTTTTAGGGGACAACTGTATCATCATTTTTTAAAATTCTGGCACTAACCGTAGACGAAAAAAATAAATATGTGGGCATCAAGAAAATGTTAATTGACCAATTAATTTTTGTTCCATTCATATTTTTACCACTATTCATGGTAAGTGTGAACGTATATGTGAATTGTAACTCATGGAAACAGACCAAAGAAGAAATCAAGAATAAATATTTTAGCATTTTATTGACGAATTACAAGATATGGCCGCTTGTGCAAACCGTCAATTTTAGTTACGTTCCAATTCCCTATCAAGTATTTGTCACGCAATCAGTAGCTGTGCTCTGGAATACGTACTTAATTTGGAAAACAGTGCATGTCCGCAAAGAGGAGAGTAAACAAAAAGTTGTAATGTAATAAAGGACGTTAACAAAATATCTTTTTATGTTTTATATTACGTTTTTTGCAATTATGACTAATTACAGCATAATAAGTGGCAAACTGTAATTATAAATATTCTTCTAAAGCTATTTTTTGTGGCATCTTAATGCAATTTATGATTTTTGTTGGGAATAAGCCACAATTTTACTTTAAAATAAGTTATTCGACTTTTCGATTTCCACATCGGAAATCGTTCTCAAAATACAAAACATTAATGTTTTGTATTTTCAGAACCACAAACACATTTTCTGTAGACCACAGATGATAAGGGCGGACGATTTGAAACGCTGGTTCGAGCTGGTATGATTTAGATAATGCTTTTATATAAAGTTTTGTACTAATCAAATTTTCAGAATTAAATAAAATTTGGCTTGGTTTAATTAACAAAAGCTTGATGGTTATTTTTTTCATCGCTTTATAATTTACCTTTAGTTTATCTGGCAAAACTGTTCCATTTTACGTACCTGAAACAAGATATAATAAATTAGAACAAAATTCTCCGAGTTATGTATTTTTTTATGTGAAGAAAACATATGGTTAATATACAAAAAAAGAACATTCTATTTAATCTCAAGTTTTTTGTCAAAAGCATTTTTATGGCATTCAAATTGTGTTTTTTACAGGTTACCATTTGTTAACCATGAAAATATTAATTGAAAAACGAAATAAATGTAGTAACTAAAGCAAAAGATATGTCCTGGGAAAGTAAATGCAAAGATCTTACAACGACCACAAAAGCTCTATTGGACCAAAAATGTTTCCATCTTTGCGTGACGTCCAATACATTATTAATTCTTATTTCTTAATTTGTGGTCAAAAATTACGTTGATTATTAGATAATTCTTGACAGATTTTAGAAAAACTATATTTTTGTTATACCTTCTGTAAAACACATTGCTACATGATACTATGACTAAGAAGATAAGATATTGCGCATAAGTCGTGACGTCATTGAAGAGTTGCACGTTCGAAATGTCAGTTTTTGTATGTATCAATAAATAATCTTTAATAAATAGTTTGGAGATATCCTTATCTGTACGATTATTGTAATTATTAAACCTCTTAACTTATTTTCGTCTAGTAATTTCATAACAGAATGCATACAAATCCCATTTAACTTTAACAAGAATTCAAATTCTACTCTCCAGTGATGGCATGCGCGAACACGACCGATTTTGTGCTACGGGAAGATCCTATCTTGTTAGTCATAGCACAGAGTAATAAACAATCAGAAGGGCCACTCTCAGATGCCGCCTTTGAAGTTTTTCAGCACCCGCGCCATGTTTTAGGAGGACACAAACATATGATTTGTGAGGTTATGCAATTGTTTACATTTATGTTTAATTATTAATATTATATTTGTTATTATATTTAAAACTGTTAATATAATTGTATAGTATGTCTATGATTGCCGTAAGACAAATAAACCCGGTTTTTTTTCCATGCACACCACATAAACAACACTGATTCCCTTTAAAATCCTCGTAAAACATGGCGGAACGTCTGCGCGAAGGAGATGCGCGTACTTAATTTTCCGTGGAGAGTGGGCATTCTGTTTGTTTATTATTCTGTGGTCATAGTATCATGCATTGTTATAGCTTTCGACACTTTCGATCATTTTGACATTGAAGTTTAATGCCATACGAAATTTGTCCTTCAAATTAATTAAGTATATAAATACGATTTTGATACACGAAAAAACTATAACAATATATAACTATGTATAAAAATCTAAGTAAACATAAAATCCTTATTCGACAATCATTGGAAGTCACGTTTTTGATGACAGTAGGAGATCTTATTGCTCAAAGTGTAGTCGATAAAAAACAGATCACACAAATAAACTTAAAAAGAACTCTCAAATTTGGATCTTTGGGATTTATTTTAGTAGTAAGTTATTATATTCTTTATATTTTAATTTATTTAGTCAATTTGGGCGCAATATGAATAAACATTAGGGAAACATAATTTTAGCATTTTCGATGTTACTTTTAAATATACGGGTATTAAACACTTGTTCACACTGAACAAATATGTTCATAACATATATATGAAATACTAAAAAAATATTAAGTTATCTATTTAAAACCTAGGAAGATCGGAAGATTTAGTTAAATTATTAGAGAACAGGTTATGGAATGTTAAATATGGACTGACCAGCGGGAAGAATACGCTCATTTACACAAAATGTAAAGTATATCGACCGAAAAAATGGGCTCCATTTTTTCATACAGGAATTTTCAATATTCTTTTACAGATTAGTCATGAGTTAAACATTTAGTCAATTATTCTACAGAAAAAATAATACGTTTTAATGTGCAAGCGAGCGAAGCCAACGAGATTTCGTGGACATTTGGAAAGCGTGAATGAATTTATTGTAACAGTAACTGTTGCCGGTGGACGTTTGTTGATACAAACAGAATTATTCGTGTTTATCATTATTGTTTATACTGTTTCTGCGGAATTTTATTTATGAATTAGACGCAATACACTTCAGGGTAAGCACACATAAAACATTTATTTTGTTATGATGATAATTACATCTCATATTACTATCCAATGCCTTGGTACTCTCAAGTCCCGTCAGGATTTAAAACATGTTTTTATATTACTTTCTTTTAGAATGGAAGTAAATGGAAGGATTGTATGAAAAGGCCTTTATCAGGAAAGGAACTACATAAACTGGGAATACAAATTCTGGAGCTACCAGATGATGTCGAAATTAGTGAATATGAAGACAGCGATTCTGATGACGATAATGAAATAAGAGATGTTGGTCTATCTGCAGCTGAAGAAAGTGAATTAGAAAGAAAGTTTTTACAAAAAAGAAAGAAAGTGAAAATGATGTAGGTGAGATTGAAGAATCAGGACTAGGAGAAGCTGTGGTTGAAGACGAACTAAATGAAAGCGTTAAACCTCTTGAAGCTAATCGGAAATGGCATAAGAAAGATGTCATCGAAAATATTCAAAGTTACCACTTAGAAGAAGGGTAGTGAGTCCAGAGTGCGCAGGATGCACAACACCTACAGATGTTTTGTTAGACTACTCGGAGATATTCTGGAGAATATTACCTATCAAAGTAATTTGTATGCAGTGCAGAACAACAAGATACTGAATATAAAGGAACGTGAATTACTGGCCTTTATCGGGCTAAACTTTCTAATGAGGTAGGTACCATCAACTTGCCTCGTGGAAAATGTACTGAAATACTTCACAAGACTTACATGTGCCTCTTGTTTCGAAAACCATGTCAAGGAATCGTTTCGAGATGATATTAGTAAATCTATATGTCAACGATAACCAGCAAATTTCCAATAGACAATAAAGATAAGGCACTTAAAATTCGACCGATGATAGATGCTCTAAACAGTCAATTTACTACACGTTATCAGGGTACAAGAAAACTTAGTGTGGATGAAAATATGATCAAATTTAAGGACGAAGTAGCTTGAAACAATATAATCCGAAAAAGCCCATCAAAAGGGGCTACAAAATATGGTCTATTGCAGATCAAAATGGTTTTATGTTACAGTTTGACTTATATTAAGACAAAAACAAAAAATTGCTGATCGAATTCGAGAATTATAGTTTAGAAGAAAGAGGTAGTTTTATCATTAACCAAGATGTACTGGAATCAAAGAAGAATTATTTATTTTGATAATTTCTTTACGAGCGTAAAATTATTCGAAAGACTAAAACTAGAAAATACATTAGCATGTGGTACAATTCGTAAGAACAGGAAAGACTTGTCTCGAAATTAAAAATTAAAGGAATTGCAACGCGGAGATTTTGATTATAGCTATTTTAATACTAACATTGGTTATTTTGTGTGGATTGATAACAGAGTAGTTAACATTGCAACTAACTTTCATGGGTCAGAAGTAAAAGATGTTTCCAGAAAACAAAGAGATGGTTCGAGTTTAAACTTACCATGCCCCAGCGTTGTGGAAGACTACAACAAAAATATGGGCGGCGTTGATCTTGCCTATCAACTACTAGTTCATATTGTGTAGATAGAAAATCACGTAAATGGTGTCACCGTTTATTCTGGGGCATGTTGGACATGGCCTTGTTGGTTGGCCTTTGTCAATTCATATATTATATACAATGAATTATTCGAAAAAATCAGCCAGCTGGAGGCAAGAAGATCGGTTGCTATGGGACTTTTAACATACGCCACTGAAGCAAAGAAGCGAGGGTCCCGAAGTTTGGAGTCATCTAGACCTAACAAAAAGAGGAAATGTAATTACAGCGCGTTAGATGACGTCAGATTGGGAAATTTGGTAAAACACTGGTTTTACCACCAATAGGGGAAGATGTGAATATTGCAGCTCACTTGCAATAGAGTCTAGACCTCAAACAAAGTGTTCATTTTGTGGTGCATACTAGTGTTGTAATTTAAATAAAAACTGTTTTGCGATGTACCACGTCCTTCCTACTTCGGGAAGAGTAATCATTTATAAAAAATAATAATAGCTTTGATTTTTAGCATTTTTTTTATTGCAACAGAAATCGCTATCTCCTGACAGAATCTCCTATCCTAATTCCTGACGAGACTTGTCCCATCTCTGGGAAAAAATACCGTGTAGCAGAAAAATAAAAAAATATATATTCTTAAGCTATCTTATTAAATAGATACATGTGAAAAAAATTGTTTTTTTTTTTTGAAAAATCTTAAATTGGGCAAAAAAGGGTTTTAAAATACATTCGTGAATCTCGAGATACCGCTCTTTCCTAATTAACATGATCTACGTGATGACGAGATACATCCATAAGAATAGTGATCTGTCCCTGCTAATATGTATCAAGTATTGGATCAAGTAACAGCTGCTTAAAACTCAAGTCCTCAAGAATAAAATGATCACATTATGCGAAGCATGCCCCGGAGGGTTACGGAAGTAAATCGAAACTGTGGTAAAGAATTAAAAAAGAAAATATTTTAGTAAAATACTAGTGGCAAAAAATTAAACAAAAAAATAAGAGTGACCACAAAGCAAAATTGGTTCACTTGAGAAAAGTAAGCTGCAATTCAAACTTCTACCATACGAGCCTGGTTGATGAATTTTGGGAAATATTCAAAAAAATACCAACTTCTACTGTTTTATTAATAAAACTAATTTGAAATTAATTGGTCAAATAAATAAAATAACATTATCCTTAACTTAAGAATATTAACTAATATTCTTATGTCGAAAACGAATTAAAATATTTGTTATAAAAAATAAAAATCTCTCCAGTATTTTTAGGGCCCCTGTGTGTCGGCTTGGTACAAGTTCTTGACAGTCTCGTTTAATGCGAAAGACCCACGTGCACCGATTAAGAAAATGTTAATGGACCAACTCATTTTTGCACCCAGTATGTTGCCCATTGTCATGACAGCGGTTGGAATGTATGTAAATAATTATACGTGGAAAAAGACGAAGAATGAAATCAGAAATAAATACTTCGATATTTTGATAACCAATTATCAAGTATGGCCCATTGTGCAGCTGGTTAATTTTAAATATGTACCTTATAAATATCAAGTTATGGTTGCTCAATGTGTAGGTATATTTTGGAATTCTTATTTATCATGGAAAACTGTCAGCAAGAAATAGAAAAATTGTTACTTACAGTCTTTGTTGCTAACAAAATTCCAATAAATATATAGTCATATTTTTTGTTTGATTCTGTTCAAGTGCCCTCTCCGCTATGGAGTTATTCAATCATCATTGCTATTCGTATCTTTGAAGCTGTTGCTTTAAATACTCCGTACAGCAGTATCGAAAAGATGTAGCATCTAACCGATCTCATTTTCAGGTTTAAGTTAATGTCATGACTTCCCAGAATATGCTTCATATTAACAAAAGCAGCTCGAGCCTTTCCAATTCTAGTTTTTATTTCTTCTGTGCTGTCATTGTTGTTATTAACACTTGTTCCCAAATATTTATATTTGTGCACCCGTTCGATTTCGTTATTGTGAATGTAGAGGTTTGCATTCAATTTTTGTTTTTTTTAAATAATCATGAATTTCGTCTTCTTGACATTCATTGTTAATCCTTTCTCTTCACTAGCTGTGACTACCTTGTTTAAAAGGGTTTGCAGGTCTTCTACTGCCTCCGCCGTTAAAACTTCATAATTTCTTCCGAATAGAGATTAAATAGCATTGGTGACAGCACACATCCTTGTCTAACTCTTTTTTTAATTTGAATTTTAATTTGTTGTGCTATTTTTGATGCGTGCGACTGCCTTCTGATTATAATACAGAGTAAATATTATTCTTATATCGCGAGTGTCTAACTGTTTAGCTTTCAAGATCTCTAAAAGTTGATCATGATTGACGTTATCAAACGCCTTGTTGTAATCAATGAAACAAGAAAATACATCTTGATTCACATCCAAACTCCTCTGTGTCAAGATGTTAAGGCAAATAACGATTCGCGAGTTCCATATCCCTCCCGGAATCCAAACTGAGTTTCTCCGATATCTTCATCCAATTTTCTGTAAATTCTATTGTGAATTATTTTAAGCAATATTTGTAATTTATGGCTGATCAGACTGATCGTGCGATGATCACTGCACTGCTTAGCATGTGCCTTCTTGGGAAGAGGGACAAAGGTTGATCTTAACCATTCTTCAGGAATTATACTGTTTTCATAAATCTTGTTAAATAAGTCTACTAACAAATGGATTCGATCTTCGTCTATCAACTTTAGTATATCCGCTGGTAACTCGTGTGGTCCTGGAGCTTTGCTATTCTTTGATGACTTCACCGCTTGCATTACTTCTTTTTTGCTTATTTCTGAACCTGTCTCCTCTGGAGAATTAAATCAAGGAGACTGCCTTTGATCATCAAACAGTTCTTCTATGTATGTCTGCCAATGTTTTAGTTTCTCCTCTGTTTCCATTATCATGTTCCCTTGTTGGTCTATAAGTACTGTCTGCTTCCTGTTCCTATTGTTGATCATTTCTTTAACCTTCTTGCGAAGATAAAACGAATCATATTTGGCTTCCAAGTTTTCAATCTCCTTACATTTGTCTTGTAATCATTGTTTTTTAGCGTCGCGGAGTTTTCTTTTGATCTCTGTGTTAATTTACTTATACTGTTTTTAATTTTTATCTTTCGATAGTCTTCGAGAATTCGTCAATAACAAAATTTCTCCACTCATCCATTCTTTCTGTTTCTTTGGTTTTTCTCTCTTCAGAATATTTTTAGCGGGCTCCAGCACGTTCTTTTTAATAATGACCCAGTGTTTATTAATGTCTAGTTATGGTATCTTTTCCGTCTTTTCAAGTTTTTCAAGATCTGCCTGAATGCTTGTATCTACCTGATGTTTAATTTTTTCATCATTCAAACGATTGATATCTATTAATTGTTTGGGCTTAGGTGTTTGTACTCTTTTAAGTTTTATTCGGAATTGTGCCACTACTGGGTTGTGGTCTGACACTATATGTGCTCCTGGATACGTTTTCACAGATTCGATTGTGTTTTTATATCTGTTGTTTATGGTTATATAATCTATTTGATTTCGTATAATATGTTCTTTAGTATCCCCAGGAGATTTCCACGTGTACTCGTCTTCTTGGTAGTTGATAAAATGTGTTTTTAATTATAAAATTCTTTTCCTGGCAAAATTGCAACGGCCGATCACCTGTTTCATTTCTTTGGCCGAGACCATATATTTCAACCCATTTGCCACATTCTCCTTTTCCAATTTTCGCATTCCAATCTTCCATTATTATTGTAGTCTCTAGACTTAACAACTTTCAGTGTTTGTTCAATGGTTTTATAAAATTCTTCTGTGTCTTTTTCGCTACTCTCCGCTGTAGGAGCATATATTTGAACTATATTTAGTTTTCCCCGAATGGTTTGACAGTTGTAGAAATATAAATCTATCTGACACTGGTACAAAGTTTATAATCGACTTACTTATTTCCTTGGTGACCATTATTGCCACTCTTTTACTATGATGATTGTCATTTCATCCTGAAAAATATATTGTACCGTTTGGGGTGACGCATTGACCTGCATTTGTCCACCTGACTTTGCTGAGTCCTAAAATACTAATCTGTAACCCACACATCTCTTGACTAGTAGTGTGTAGTTTTCCAGCTTCAAATAGCGTTCTTACATTCCATGTGGCGATACGGATCGATGTATTATGCATTTTGCAGGGGGTTTGCAGATTGACGACCGGAGGAGCCCTGCAAGTTATTGAATCTCCCCTCCTGCCGGATCTTGGTTTTCGATGACCATTATCAGTAACTTTCAAAGAATCGCTATTCTTTGCCATGATGATTTATACTAGGGGTACTCTACGAGTCTTCGGAACTCATCCGCCCGAAGCCGTTGGTCAGTAAGTGGGAGATTGCTTATACCGGCAATCGCTCGGTGGAATTTTCGCCATATCTGGGTACCTTCACTTAGTTTAGCCATAAGTGAGAGTCAGTTGTTTTATGAGGACCAGTTATCAAGAACCATCTCCCGTCTATGACGCTCGATGTGTTCGTTCCGATAAAAGGTGCTACCTATATAATACAACTGTATACCCCTTCGTTTGATTAATAACTAATAAATTACCAGAACCAGAATATTTTATCAGAAAAACAAATGTATTACATAAGTTAATATGATAAGTTTAGGTCCTGTCCCCTGGATCTGGCGTGATGTGATCCCCTCTCGTGAGAGAATCACGTGTCATGTTACTGGCCTGTTGACCAACGTCGCTTTAGTCTTCTGATATCTTGATTTTGAGGTATTACGGAAATTAATGGATTCAAGTGTGTGTTCACTTTTTGAATATATTGTGATTCCTTTTGCTGAATTACTTCTTTTACTGTTGAATCCTTAAAGTTTAGGTCCTGTCCCCTGGATCTGGCGTGATGTGATCCCCTCCAGTGAGAGAATCACGTGTCATGTTACTGGCCTGTTGACCAACGTCGCTTTAGTCTTCTGATATCTTGATTTTGAGGTATTACGGAAATTAATGGATTCGAGTGTGTGTTCACTTTTTGAACATATTGTGATTCCTTTTGCTGGATTACTTCTTTTACTGTTGAATCCTCATAGATTCTTTGGTTGGTTACGATTCATGGTGCATCAACAATTGCTTATAACCCAATATACGGTTGAATGTTCGAATAAATGAACTTTGATGGTACACAAGGCAAATATCGAACACAGTATTTAATTAAATCTTGCCCAAGTACTTTCGATCACAAGATCATCCTCAGGGGCATTTCGTCAATTGTGGCCTATCCAGCAATAACCGAATGTTCGGTTATTGCTGGATAGGCCACAATTGACGAAATGCCCCTGAGGATGATCTTGTGATCGAAAGTACTTGGGCAAGATTTAATTAAATACTGTGTTCGATATTTGCCTTGTGTACCATCAAAGTTAATTGCTTATAAGATTTTTGATTGACATCTTTTCATTATAGCAATATTGGATTTACTACTACAGCCCCACAGCTCTATGCCAGGTGACCATATTGGGTTGATAACTGTTTCCTACATTAAAACTTAGTGATTTATTGACAGCTTAGAATTTTTTCCAATTAACCAATTTATTTCTTTTTGTCTTAGTTGTATTTGTTTTCTTCTTTGCTAATGTCTTCCTTCCAACACAGGGTTTGGTCCAGGTGTAGCCCAAGGTATTTGGTTGTTTTAGTCCTGTGTTGTTGTAAAAACAGCAAGTTATAATAATATTAGTTTATTTTTTATATTAGTTTCTAGTTGTAGGGCAATTAGTTTTCACAAATATTGGCTTAAATCTATGTGACAGACTGTACTTCTTGCCTACAAAGGATTTGTCTCATAAATGCCTTATAAGGACCTTGGGTTATAACTGATCCCGGTCTGTCGACACTTTTAGATAAATATTGAGTCAAGTCAAAAGAATGGCATATGTGTTTTGTGTTTTCAAGTTGCTAGACGAACGTGCGGCTGTGTGCGGTACTCGCTACCTAAGCTCCTTGTCTTAAAAATGCAGTGACAAGTGTATTAGTTGTCGCTATATTCGCGCGCCCCAAAAACACCGGCATAATAATGAACAATGAGGTAAAGCGAACTCTTTAATTAGTTATAGTGTTTTTGTAAATATTCTCTAGTTACTAAATGTGTAGTATCTATTAATCACGCTTTATTATTTTTTAAGTATAACCCGATAAAACCAAACACATAAGGAATCATCGCCGTGAAGTCTGCTTACGTATATCGATGGAATCTCTGTAACAGTCCGTGGTCCTAAAATATTTGGTACTGTATCCGCTGGGGAAAGGAATTTAATAAGCTTTCCCCCAACAATTAGTGGAGATCAGACAAAGTTCCAAGTGGTGGTGTTTCTCGTCGAAAAGTGAAAGTTATATGGGTTGACTTGCTTTCATTTATTTTTATTTTCCATTCTTCCAGCCACTTTTTAAGCTCATACAAGTAGTCTTGGAGATGTAGTGTAGCTATGTTAACGTGTTTATGACTTGTAAGTGTCATCTACAAACGTGCCAATTGTTAAATTATATGAAGTTGGTAGATCAGACGTATTTAACAAATATAATGGAGGTCCCAGGACGCTGCCTTGCGGAATTCCCGCATTAATGGGATGCATTTTGGATATTTCTCCAGTTACTTTTGTTCTGAACTGTGGGTTTTTCAAGTATGATGTAAGTATTCGAAA